CTTGTCATGATCCACATAATCGAAAGCCTTTGTGTAGTCAGTAAAGCACAGGTAAACATCTTTCTGGTATTGTCTGCTTTCAACCAAGATCCATCAGATATGATAACCTTTGTTCCACATCCTCACCTGAATCTGGCTTGAACCTTTGACAGTTCTCTGTCAATGTACGTTTGCAGCCATTTTTTAATTATCTTTGGCAAAATTTACTTGCATTTAATATTAATGATATTGTCCAATGATTTCCACGTTCCTTTGGGTCATCTCTATTTGACATGGGCACAAATATGGATCTCTTCCAGTCAGCTAGCTAGGTAGTTGTCTTCCAAATTTATTGACATAGATGAGTGAGTGCCTCCAGTATTGTATCAGTTTGTTGAAAGATTTCAATTTGTATTTCATCAATTCCCATAGCCTTATTCTTGGCCAATGCCTTTAGTGCACTTTGGACTTTTTCCTTCAGCATCATTGGCTCTTGATCATGTTACCTTTTGAAATAAACATCAACAATTTCTTTTTGGCACAGTGACTATGTATTCCTTTCATCTTCTTTTAATGCTTTCTACATCATTCAGTATTTTGATCATAGAATCTTTCAGTATTGCATGTTGAGGCTTGGATTTTTTTCTTTGGCTTTATAACTTTAGGTCTTTGCACATTTTATAATATTTGATTTTGTCTTCTCAAGCTACTCTTTGAAGTTTTCTATTTAGCTCTTTTACGTCATTTCTTTCATTTGCTTTAACATCTCTCTACTGGAAAGCAAGTTTCAAAGTCTTCTGACATCTATTTTGTTTTTTCCTTCTATTTTGTCTTCTTGATGACCTTTTGCTTTCTTTCTGTATGATGTTCTTGATGTCATCCCACAACTCTTCTGGTCTTCAGTCTCTAGTATCGAATACATCAAATCTATTCTTCAGATAATCTTGAAATTCAGGTGGGATATGTTCAATGTCATATTTTGGCTCTCTGTGGACTGTTTTAATTTTCTTCACTTCAGCTAGAACTTGCATATGAGCAATTGATGGTCTGTTCTACAGTCTGCCCCTGGCCTTGTTTTGGCTGATGATATTCTTTCACCATACTTTATTCAACCTGTATGCTGAGCACATACGCTGAGAAACTGGATTTTATTAAGAAAAATGTCGCATCAGGATTGGAGGAAGTCTCATTAATAATCTGCAATATGTAGATGATACACCCTTGCTTGCTGAGAGTGAAGAGGATTTAAAAGTACTTACTGATGAAAACCAAAGACCACAGCCTTTGGTATGAGTTACACCTCAATGTAAAGAAAACAAAATCCTCACTATTAAACCAATAAACAACATCCATATAAACGGAGAAAAGATCCAAGTTATCAGAGATTTCATGTAGCTCAAATCAACCATCAACACTCATGGAAGCTGCAGTCAAGAAATCAAATGCTAGGATGCTCTTTAGAAGCCAGGATGACAAGACTTCAAGACTAGTCTCTCATATGTAGGACATGTTCTCAGGAGGGACCAGTTCTTTGAGAAGAACATCATGCTTGGTAAAATGGAGGGTCAGCAGATTAAGAGGGAGACCCCCCCCCACCAAGGAGATGTATTGACACAGTGACAACAGCATTGGACTCAAACATAACAATGATCCTGAGGATGATACGGGATTGGACTATGTTTCATTCTGTTGTGCATAAGGTTGCTAGGAGTTGGAACTGACTCGACAGCACCTAACAATGACACTTAGCCCATTTGCTTTGTTACATAGGATATTTATGTACACACGTGTATTGGTTTGTGATGACCACAATGTATCTATATGTGTCAGTTTCCTGTGCATGCTGTGGGTGTTCTATGTGTGTGCATGTCATTTACCTGGGTGTGTTATTTGCAGGAAACACAGTACTCTAATCCTTACAACAACCTTATTATCTCCATTTTACTGGGAAGCAAACTTGAGGTTTAGAGAAATTACAGAGCTAGAGTTGAATCTGGCACCAGAACCCAAATAGTTGAACTCAGAGAATCTGTTCTTAAGTGCTACTCTGTGGTCCTGGTGTGATGCTGAAGGAGAAGCACTGGACCATAAGGTTAGTTTGAATTGCAAGGTCGGTGGTTCAAACTCACCAGCTACTCCTCAGAAACCCTATTTAAGGTCACTATGAGTCAGAACCAACTCAATGGCACTTAACAACAACAATCGACTTCTAGTATGTTGTTGTCATTGTTAGGTGCCATTGAGTCAGTTCCAACTCATAGTGACCCTACATACAACAGAAGTACGTTGTTGCTGTTAAGTGCCGTCAAGTTGGTTTTGACTCATAGTGACCCTATATAGGGTTTCTAAGGAACAGCTGGTGGGTTTGAACCTCTGACCTGTGGTTTACAGTCCCTTGTTGATCCTACAACGCCACACCAGGAGTCCAGTTATAATACAGTGAGGAAATAGCTGTAGTTGAGTCATGTATGGGCTATGGGATAAGAGGTGTGTGGGAGGTGGTGTCTAACCTCTAACCAGCAGTGGGGAAGGAGAATCATCCTCAGCATCAGCCCAAGGCCAATTCCTCTAAGGCCAGACTTGTCTCTACTCTTCCTAACCAATTCTCACACCAACCATCCCTCCCTCAGCACTTTCAATTTCTCAGCTGGTTTTGATGATTCATTACAGTGACCACACATAACCCACAGACCACACTTATGATGTTAGGGACGTTAGCAGGTTACAATGTAGGATCAGAAATGTTCAGGATACAGTTGTTTGGTCAGAGCAACCTCTTCCTGGCCATATCTACAAGCAGCCCTCTCTTTGGCCCTTGGTCTCCCAGCCACGCAACCCCCTGACCTCTGCTCTGCTTAGCAAACCTAACAGGGTTCATTGTGATTATAAAAACTTGGAAATCTAATGAGGCAATTGGTCAGATTTCCCATCTTTTGGGTTTTAAAATGAGCCATCTCAGAAACAGGGAGAAGGATCTCACTATCATCAAGAAAGAAGAGTCAGGAGCGGAGCGTGCATGTTGTTTGGACCCGGAGATCCCTGCGCATTGAACTTCCTTAATCCAGGGACAAAAGCTTTATCATCAGAGACATGGAAGAGCGGCAGCAGCAGCAGGTGATCCAGAGCCTAAGGCAGAGCGGTGGACTTCACAGACTTCCTGGGACCTGGAGCAAGTATAGCTGAATGTCTTTGGCCTGGAGGCTTGCTTGTGGAGTGGGGTGCCTCCAGTTATTTCACTGGGGAGCTAGGTTTGCTGACTTAGGAAGCTGGGTGCCTTTGGTCTGAGACTTATAGTCCAGTGTTGTGCACTTTGGACATTTATCAGTCATGCCAAAAAAGTTTTGTAACAATGCCAAGCATGGCAGAAACCAGATCAAGGGACGAGAGGCCAAGAGACCTGCCTGGGGACATGACAGGGAAGAAGCTATCCTGACCAAAGAACTATATCCTGAACCTTCTTTTTTTGATCCTGAACATTTTTGATCCTGAACTGCAACTTGTTCTTGTGGGAGGGATGGCTAGTGTCAGAAATGGTAATTTAGGTTGGAGGGTGGAGGCATTATCAGATCTCAACCTCATAGGAATTGGCCCAGGGCTGATGGTGATTTTACTTTTCCACCCTACCCTCACTCCACGAAGCTGGAGGAGGTCAGACACCACCTCCATACCAAATTATTTTTTAAAAGAGATATATAACAGTGAAGGAGTCCTGGTGTGGTGTTGTGGGTTAATGAGCTGAACTGCCAAGTCAGTTTGACCCACAAGGTCAGAGGTTCAAGCTCACCAGCTGCTCCTTGGAAACCCTATATAGGGTCGCTATGGGTCAAAACCAACTTGATGGCATTTAACAACAATAATGGTGAAGAGCCAGAAAAATGTCTAAGGTGATGTGCAGATTTGAGATAATGAGTACGAGAATTACTACAGGTCTACAGAGGTATCGGAATCAACTCCACGGCACTTCACAACAACAACAACAGAGGTATGGGAACTCCAGGAGGGTAGATTTGTGGGTGGTCCCTAAGTGGCACTAATGGTTTGCAAGCCACCATAACCTAAAGGTTGACTTTTCAAACCCACCCAGCAGTCCTGCAAAAGAAAAGCCAGATGATCTGCTTGTGTAAAGATTACAATCACGAGTACCTATGGACCAGTTCTAGTCTGTAACACATGGGGTTGCTATGGGTCAGAATTGTCTCAGTAGTAACAGGGTTTCTTTGTGTGTATGTGTGAAAGATGAGGATGGATTAGGAAGCAGTGACCAGATCATGAAAGTTCTTAGATGCCATGCTGAGGAGTTGAGTATAGATTTAGTTCTAAGTGTAATCAGGGACTACTAAAGTGCTTTCTCGGGGAAATAACTCAAATTACATTGTGGAATGGTCACTCTGGCTGCTGTGTTTCTAGTGTACTTAAGGGAGGCAGTGGAGAGGTCTGGAGATAGAGAAATGAGTTAAGAAGCTGATATAGTGAAGAAGTAAGGTGGAAGTGGACATAAGTGGACAAATATGAAATATATTGAAAACATATTGTCAATAAGACTTTGTAATCAACTAGCTTGATGAAGAAAAAATAGAAGCCAAGGGTGACCATCCGCAAGATTTTTAACTTGAACAGTGAGTTCAACAGCTGCACATTGAGATGATGAACCAGGAGAAGGAACATGTGTACAGCAGGTGATGATGACTTCAATTTGAGGTATATTGAGTTGACATACCTGTGTGATGTCTAGATGTTCAGAAAACTACTGGGATATGTGGATGTAAAGTTCAGGAAAGGTCTGGGCTGAAAATACTGATTTGGAAGATATCAGCAGATGGATGAAGCCATCAGTGTGGCTGAGAATGCTCGTGGAGAGTGTGCAAGACCTGGGATACTGTATTCTCAGGACTGCCCTGGTGTTCTTTCTAGGACTTCACAGAACTTTTCTGTACTCCTCATAGACCCTGTGCAGGGTCGCTATGAGTTGAAACCGACTCTATAGCACATAGCAACAACAAGTCAAAGTCAATAATCACACACAACTTTTTCCATCTGGTTTATTTACCAATAGCTATAATTTTGGATCTAGCTGACCCCATCTTCAGTTAAGTTGTCACTAAAGAAGGATCATGGAGACCACTTCAGAATGTAGACTGGAAGAGGTCTTTAAGGAAGGAGAGGCTACGAGTGGTGAGGGGAGTGATGGGACTGAGCCCCTCAGGAGTAACTGCCTGGCCCTCCCAGGGGGATGACGAAGACTGAAATGTCATCACCGGAACCCAGCTTGTTGTTAGGGAGACGCCAGCCACGGTCTCGGGGGGTGCCCCGGGCCCCCAGCACCAGAGCTTGGGCCAGAGCTGTGTACCTGCCAGGAGCACATGTGTATAGTCATGTACTGATATGTATAGGAGAAGACAGCTACACAGGTTCACATGTGGGTACCCAGCATTGCCCATTTTCCTTCCCCAAGCCACCATAGTATGCAGTCCCTACCTGCTAGAGTCATTGGGCTCATAGGCAGACAGCACCCTGTCCACAGTGGTGGCTACTTCATGGTCACTGGTGACATCCCACAGCCCATCTGTTCCCAGGACCAGTACATCATCTGGGCAGTGCTCGTACAGTGTTAGGTCATACACTTGAACCTGGAAGGGAAGAGGGTGGACAGAACTAAGGTGCGAGGTTTGATGAACAGAGTTTGGGGATAAAAAGGGCCTGGGTGAATGCCTGCCTGAGATTCCTAGAGGAAGGAAGGTATAACTGGGGGGTCCACATATAGCTCACCTCAGGAAAGCAGGAAAGAAAGGGCTTGATGGGTAGGGTAGAACTGCAGACCTTGAGGTTGTGGTCTCCTAAGCCCCGGGTCACCCCAATGGTGGCCATCACTCGCGCCTGAGGAAAATGAGGAGTGCCACTATAACCATCTTCCAGACTTTCTGAAACTGTGGACCCCCTCCCCAATCCCTACCTTCAGAACCTCCACCTCCCTAGACAAGTTACAGTGGGTCCTCCTGCCCTCTCCCACCTCTACCATGGAGTTTACCTTTTTGCCCTCCCCACAGACCAGAGGAAACCTGAGATCCTCCAGCTCGATCTTTTTGTAGGCCCTGGGGAGGGGGGAGTAGAGGAGGCATCACCCAAGCATCAAAGCCCCTCTCCCCTGGAGACACACACACTCATGAAAACCCATTAGAAGAGCCACATTCCCCCCAACACCCAGCTAGGCCCAGTTTCCAGCTGCCACCTTGCTGTTGGTGAGGAATTGGTTATGTTGCCATGGGAACAGGCCCTAGCTCTGAGGGAATTGTTACCAGCCGGTCATATTCTGGTCCCGGTACAGCATCCTTTGCCCCAGCTCCTTGGGCTGAACTCTGCGAGGGAACTCAAGGTGGGTAAATTCGCTGCCCAGCAGCTCTGGTTTCAAGAAGCCCTGGGGTTAGGAGTAGACAGAGCAGAGGGCCGCCGGGGAGGGGGGCGGGGGAAATGGACAGGACATTAGGCTTGCAGCACACCCTACTGTAAATGATGTTAATAATAGAAAACCCTTAGAATTTATTATGTGCCAAACACTTCTAATATTAACATGTATTAACTCTTTTAATGCTCACAATAACTCTTAAGACAGGGACTGTTGATGCACAGACAGGTTAAGGGAATTGTTGAAAGTCACACAATAGTAAAATACTTGAACCAGTATTCAATCCCAGGAAGTCCAGCTCCAGAACCCAGGCTTTTAAGCATTAAGCTATACTGCCTATCAGGAACCTTTGCTAGTTCCTAACCTCCCCCCTCTCTGAGCCTACTTCCTTCCTCAGCAGGGATCAGAGGGAGCACTGGACCAGCCCAGGCTCCTTCCTGCTGCATCATCCCATCAGCTCAACTCTGCACTCCAGTCTGAGAAATGGCCTTCAAATTAAACTATCCAGAGCTTCCTGAGTCAGTGGTGGGGGTGTGAATTCTCAGGGGACAAGGGTATAGAGAGGCAAATGGCTCAACAAAGAATGAGAATAAGTTCAGTTCCTACTTACAAGCAGCTGAAGACGTTGACGTTCAGTCTCCGGGGTAAACTCCCGAGACATTGGAATGATTTCACCATTCCGGATAATGATAGCCCTGCCCACATAAAGAAAAGGCCCATGTGAGGTCCTATGTGCCACTTGAACTAAAACACAGAGGGCAAGGTTTGGCCCTGTTCTGCCCAGTCCCCCCCTTATGGGGAATTCCAGAAAAATCAGGCCTTCCCATAATGATCCTGAGGATCTCTTGCCCAGACCCCCATCTTTCCTCCCCTCATAGCTATTTCCTTATGTCTGTGATACCTCTTGACTCCCTCTCAGCTCTGATCTTTTAAAATCCCTACCGTCTCTGCCTCTCTTCTATACTCCCATCCCAGAGTGTGGCCCCCTGGAGCACCACACCCCATACCTGCTGTCGCCTGCATTGGCCACATACACCTTCCCTAGCAAGTAGATCACAACCAGTGCACAGCAGCCCCCCTCCACTTGATGGCCACGTCGCTCCCGGGCCATCTGTTCATCCTGCCACAGGAGAAAGGATCACTGGGTGAATGAAGAAGAGGTTCCAGCTACACACTCACCCACACCCCAATCTGTAGAAATACTGGCCCAACCAAGCCACACTGGAAATGGATGACATGGGTACAACTCCTCTTCTCCCTCCCAGCCAAACCAAGCTCTGCTCAGGCTCTCAAAGGTTCTGGGATTTGACTAATATATGACTCCCACACAAAGGTGACCAGAGTGTCTGCGTTAGCCCAGGACACTCACTCACCATGAGCTGGAAGGCATTCTCAATGGCCCCCACTACCAGGCTCTCATGGGTCACTTCTTTTTGCGAAGACCAGCAGGACTGAGGAGCAACCAGGTGAGAGGGATTAGATGCCCCCGGGGTGGATGAGAGGCAGAGGGGGGGTGGAGAGGGGTCCCGAAGTATCTCCACCAGGTCTTTTAGCTGCTCCCGGATATGGCGATGCAGAAGCCTTGAGGCCATTTCAGCGGCTCCACCCCCTGCATGTCCGTCAAATAGGCCCCAATAGTAAAAGCAGAGGCCCTGGTGGAGGAAAAGACGTGGGTAAGTGTGTGTACTAGTTATGCAGGGAGAGCAAGACTCTGGGCATCCATGAGAACATCCGAGAGTAGGCCAGAGGTTGGTATTGAAGACAAATTTATTTACTAATTTATCAAGGAGAAAGGAAAGCATCAGAAAAGCCAAACTCTGAAAATAAAATATGGAAAACTCATCCATAAATATGTAAACATCTATGGTTTAAGTGTAAAACTAAACATTTATACTGACATTGTAGAACCTAGCTGACCCTAGCCAGATTATGAAACCAGAAGTGAGTCAGGAGGCAGAGGTCTCAGACTTAGAATGGAGTGCCTAGAATCCCAAGAGGAGAGGTGTCACTGTGTTTCTGGAGGCTAGAGGGGAGGGCCTTACCTGGCTCGGGCTAGGATCCTTAGGTGCCCCTGTAACACTCTTCCGACCTTCCACATATACCACCTCACAGCAGGCCTGGTCCTCATTGTGCCGGCTCTTACCAGCGTTGATGACCCTGCCAGGCCAGAGTGACCATGTTAGTAGGTTGGACACCACACCAAGTCCTGGAATAACTCCCACCTTAGACACATACATCCTTTCTGGCTTGCTGGCCAAGCTGAGAAAGGTCACACAGCCACCTGGGATCTAGGCCAGAGGGAAGAGTAGGGAGGGAGGACAAGGCGCAAGGAGTACTGGGTGGTATACCACCTCAGTAAGTTTGGCAGCAGTGCCCTGCCTGCTTGAGTGCCCCCAGCCATGGCAAAGGGGTGTCCCTAGTGGTACTGCTAGGGAGGGACTGGATACTTCCCTGCTTGCCAAGATCCTACTCCATCCCCAGCCCCAGTCGACTCTTTGTCCCAGGACCCCACCTCTAAGGGCACACCCACTCTTAGCCTTAAACCGTCCAGGGCAAGTTTCTGCAGCTCTGGCAATGAAGTGCTCCAGCCCAGATCCAGAAGAGGAACTGAATAGGGCATGGGGTCACTATGAGTGGTAGTCAACTTGAGGGCAGTGAGTTCCAGCCCATCTATACTATGCCACATAAATTGGAAGCTAAGAGGTGGCGGGTGGGGCCACGGCCCCCCAGCAACGTCCCTTAGCGACCTCAGTGCCCCTATCTACCTCCCCGCCCAGCTTTCCTGGCAGATCCATTAAAAATACACAGGGCCTGGAAACACGCTATGGTCAGGGAAGGGGAGGGGAGGGCGCTTCTTTGCCTGGCCAGTGAGTCTACCAGCAGAGGGGCGTTCAAATGGGACCCTTCTGCTTTCCCAGGCGGCCCCCTCCCCCGCCTCTAGGGAAGCTGGCGGCGGCTGCCTAGTGTCGCGGGCTATTTCTGGGTGTGGAGGGGGAGGGGAATGGTAAGAGGGACAGGGAACTGGGGCGCCGGGGCCGGGAAGATGAGGTGCAAGTCTCCCCAGCTGCCATCTCTCTTCTTAAAAAGGACCCCCGCTCCTTCTAAAGACCTCCTCCTCCCTTAACTATTAAACTGCCGGGCCGTGACTGAGAACTGGCTAACTCATCGTTCTCCGGGCCCTCTGGACTCCGGGAGGCTTCAGAGTCCAAGCGGCGCGTTGGTGAGCGTAGTCAATGAGCTGGAAGGTGATTCAGGCTGTAGGCGACTTGAGAGGGCAGGAGAAGGGGGGTTAGGGTCTGAAGCCCAGCGGATGGGAAAGGTCCTGAGAAAGGGAGCTTCTGGTACCGAGAGCGGCATGGGGACGCTTCGCAGCGCCAGGGATGTCGAACAAGGGGAGAGGGTAGGGATCAGGTTCGGGTGCCCCCGGGGGCGCTCACTCGGCATAACCCGTGTTCCAAGGCAGGCGACGGCCGGTGTCTGGGGGGCTCTGCACAGCTCGGCCCGCTTGGTCGTCGGCGCGTCGCAGCCCCCCAGGGCTCAGCTGCAGAAAGGTCGGTCTGGAGAAGCTCGTTCGAGTCTCTACGGTCTTCGCCGGTGCCCCGCTCCCGCTCCCGGACCTTGCCGGAGGGCTCTTGGGAGCTTCTGGGAGGGAAGCGGGCTGCGCTGAGTTCGCGTTAGGCGAGTCTGGGGACTTGGGGCGCGGAGGTGGGACGCCCCCGGAGCTCACCAGGTGCGCCACCGCCGAGCGCACCCGGTTTAGCATGCTGCCTCCCCTGCCCCGCCCTCGGCCGTGGCCCCGCCCCCGATCAGGCCCCGCCCCCTAAGACTCAGGGTGGGCGGTGCTCACTTCTGCCGGCCCTTCCAGGCATTGGTTACCCGCGGGCTGGGCAGTTCCCCTGAAAAACTTCCTCCTCCTCTGGGCCACCCCGGGAACCGCCCTACCGGCTCGCGGCCTCTTCCCTAACGGATTCCGGCTTCACTTCGTTCTGTCTCTTTGGAGAGCGGTCTGTTGTGGTGGGAAAAGGACAAACAGAAGTCCTATTTCAGCTGTGCTCTAAGTTAGACATCAGCTAGAACTTCCCCATTATGACGAGGTGAAGAGTCTTCTCGCCCCTGGTTCGGAGCGGCCAGCCTGTCCAAAGGTGATAGAGCTGATGACCTAAGAGCGAAACCAGCTGTTTTGAGGAGGTGCCAGTGACCGCTAGGTGTGAAGCACCTGGTGTGACAACACTTCTGACTGAGGTTGCTGGAGAGCTAGAGCAAGCAAGCTGGTGCTAGGTGGGGGCTGGTGGATGGTGACATCGCAGGCTGGAACCGACTACCTGAATTTGGGGGCTGGGAGTAAATTCCTGCGCTCCTGACGGCGCTGTTTGTTCCCTGAGAAGACTACTCTGACTTCATTTTCTTTCTCAGGACCGATTCCCACCCCCCCCTCCCTTAGACTTCCCCTGACCACCACAGAAAGACTAGTTAGGATAACAATAACAATAGGGCAGTATTTCGTTCCGTTGTGTATAGATAGGATCTATGAGTCGAATTGACTTGATTGCACCTAACAACATTGAAGCTTTAACTATATATTGGGTCCTCTACAAAACACTTTCCACACATCAGGTCATTTGTACTACACATTCAGAAAGATGGGCTTTATTATGTCAATTTTAGGAATGAATCAGGAGAGAATGCTCCTGTCATTTTGTGTGACTTGCCCTGAGAGGTCACCCAGCCATGATTCACATCCATGTCAGCCCCTGATTCCCAACCTGGTCTTAATAAGCAAGTTGATTTCTCAGGATCTAGGAGGAGGGATTAGGAGAGAATTGGTGGCAGAGAGGACTGAGAGTTCCTTCCATCCCACTCCCCTCCTCTTAAGGCAGAAACTGAGACCAGTCTGGGGATACCGCAAGGGGGAGGCAGAGGCCAAGACAAAGCGCCTGTCTAAGCGGTGAACCTGGCCTGAGCCCATCCATCACCCTTTCTGCTTTCTCCCTGGGTGGTGGTGGGTTAGGGCAAACTGTACTAATACCATGATGGAATAACTTTGTCCCTGAACTAAAGATCAAGGAGTTGATCTCTAAGTCTCCTGAGACACCCACCATCCTACACTTCCAGTAGGGGCTAGGGCTCCTCCTTGTGGCCCTAATGCAATTTGGAGTAACCATCAGAACTCACTGACAATTGAGTGATTATGAGCTTTGTTGCAGAGTGCCTCTGTTTCCTGCACCTAACTCTGCTGCCAGAAGGAAAGACTTTCCTGACAGCTTCCACATAAAAATCCCACAAAGATCATTCAAATTTGCAGATTTGCTATAAATTATGTTTGCACTCTGGGCAGAGAGAACCAGACAAAAAGTCTCAAAAGGAAATCTGACCCAGAAGCACAGAGATTAGGACGCAGACAAGGAGAGAAAGAAAATGTTGGGTTTGTCCCTTCTGTTAGGAAAAAACCCCCAAAACACTAGAAAGAGCTTCTAGATAAATGGCATAAACTGCAGCCTTAAGCCAAAGACTGAAAGAAAACAAAACAAAATAAAGACATTCTGGTTATTTTTATTAGTGTTTCTGGGACAATTTGTTCATCACTTGCTAGTGTCATCTAGATCCTTAGCTCCCACTCTTCACAGTCTCCATTGTGGTGTGGCTGCAAGTGGGTCACAGAGCCAGGACCCAGAGACCCCTAGCACTAGATGGTCAGCAGGGATGCCACTGGCTCCTCTGGGCTCCAGAACACCCCTCTGGTCATTTCCAAATCCTGAAAGCTCTCTTCCCTGTGCACCTCTCACCTTCTACTCCAGACTCACACCTCCTCCAGCCTCAGATTGCCCCAGAACCTAGCACAAAGGTCATCACCTCTGCTTACCCCTGAGGCAGCAGAGATGGAGGGGGGGAAGTGATGTCCTGTGGGAAGAAGCAGACTTGTGAGCTAGTCTATGTTCCTCTCTACTAACAACTGAGACTCTGCTCAGAGACCATTCCTGCCAGGGTAGGGGAGTGGGCATCCCTCAAGACTGGCCCCTTTATCCCAGGCCACAGGGATATGTCCCACAAGCCACTTCCCTCTGTTTTCCCCCTCCTCATTACTCTATCACCAAACCCCCCTAACTAAAGAAATACCGTTCTTGTCAAAGAGACAAATTCACAGATCACCTCTTCCTATCACTTATCTGATAACAAACCATTTTAAAGTTGACCTTGTAGAGAAATGGTTCAATTACTGCTATTTTCCTGATGAAAAAACTGAGCCTCAGAGTTTAGTTAACAAGTAGGCATTCATACCCACTACCTTCCTCAGTAAGGAGCTCTGATAGCATAGTGGTTACAAATCGGGTTGTGAACCTTAAGGTCACCAGTTCGAAACTACCAGCTGTTCTGCGGGAGAAAGATGAGGCTTTCTGCTGCAGTAAAGATTTACAGCCTCAGAAACCCTGTCCAGGGTCACTACTCCACAACACATAACCACCACCACCACCTCCCTCAGTGGAGTTCTGGTATGGTATGGCTCTGTAGGATAAGCACTCAATCATAAGGTCAGTTTGAACCATAAGGTTGGTGGTTCAAACTCATCAGCCCTATACAGGGTTACTATGAGTCATAACTGACTTGACAGCACTTAACAACTTCCGTTAACACATAGAGACCATTCACCAGCCTATTGCAGCCTTGGTTCCTGCCATTCCCTACCCTCAGATCTACACCAGCCCCCAAGGGCAGCATTCATGGAGTAGAGATCACTTACTATTCCTTCTTGAATTTTAATATTTTAACAGTGAGGAGTAAGGAAATATCAACCTAGATTGCCCAATAGAATTTTGTGCATGATGAAAATGTTTGAGATCTGCTCTGTCCAATACAGTAGCCACGAGTTACATGTGGCTGTTGAACATTTGAAATGTGTTTAGTGCAAATGAGAGTCTGAATTCTTAGTTTCATTTCATTTTGATTTTAGAGTTAAGCTTAAATAACATGTGCCTGGTGGCTACTGGAGTTGGACAGTGCAGTTCTAATAATATTTAAAACTCAAAAGTCCTGAAAGTCTCCTTACTCCCACCACCTATATGTTTTCCCAGGGCCACTAGGTTAGGGACCACCAGACCTCGAGAGCTTTGAGGGAACTGCTTGGGTGTCCCTTTGAGTTACCCCAGCCTGGACAAGGTGATATGTCCTCCCTTTCCTCCTTTTGCCCTCAGCCGCCAGGGGCCGCTGCACCCGGTTGTGCCCGCCGACTCTCCGAAAGCTCTCTGCCAGGCGCCCTGCATTGTCCCGTGGAGGCGGCGGCTCCCGCGCTGGGCTTTAGAAGCCGGGCGTCCACGACAAGGAATCGGTGGCAGCTGTGGCAGCGGCGGTGGTGGCGGCGGCTGCTAAGCGCACCCCGGCCTGGAGGCGAGAGTCTCGGCGGGAACCCAGCTGAGCTCTGCAGAGCCGGCTGGGTTGGGCCCGGAGCTTTTCCAGGCTCAGAGAGGAGCCCACCATTCCTGGGATGCCAGCTTGAGCAGATCCCTGCCGTCCCGGGAACACAGCAACTTGGTGAGGGGACAGGGTTCCAGACTAGAGAGCATTCCAGCTACCGGTCCTGCCTAGGAAAGGGGGGCAGCTGGGGAGCGCGCCTGGAAGTCCGCCTTTCCAAGTCTTGTCCCTGGGCTCAGAGGCAAGCGGGACCTCCGACTCGCGGTCGAATTAGTGGGCACGCCCGCGGGGCAGGTAGGTTCCAAATGAGGGGAAATGGAGATTTGGAGGACTGAGTGGGCACTAGAGGGGGCAGGAGGAAATGGGAAGGGAGATGAAGGTTCTTGTCATTCACATTTTCAACTCCATACTGGTATATCCACCCAACCCACTGTATCGAGTGAATTACAATTCATAGCGACCCTGTATAGAACTTGAAGGCTGTAAATCTTTAAGGGCGCCTAAAACCTCCTCTTTGTCCCACGGAGCTGCTGGTGGGTTTGAACTTCAGACTTTGTGGTTAACAGTAAATGCTTATCCTGCATCACCTTCCATAATGATATACTAATTCAGCCACTTCGTAACTGGGATTGGGGCCTGGGAGGAAGGCTGCAGACAGAGGCAGACACTGTGCTTCAGAGCATGCAAGCCCCAAAACCGATCCCAAAAGCTTCTTTCCCCAATCCCTCCCAGTGGAAAGGAATAGAATGTGGAAAACATGTTCAAATGTCACCCCATCACCCCTCATCTGAGTTATTTTGATTCTTGGGGTTCGTAGAAGGAATGGGAGAGTTGGATTCAACGTGGAAGCTCAGGGAGAAATGAAATGGAGCCTGCCTGAGAGAGAACAAGAACCGTGTTTGTATTATCAGAACACGGCTTCGTGATGGAGGTGGGGAGAGGAGATACCCACTCAGAAAAGAAACTTGTTTAGAAGGATGGGAATCTCTCTCCCAGTGGAGCAGTAACCCCAGCCTGGGTAGAGCCACCACTCTGCTGCCTGCCTCTATAAACTCCCAGGCTCTCAGTCCTGGGGGCTAGGATGTAGGATCTTTTGTCCTTTCTGGAAGTGGAGGGGGTGGGGGAGTCTTTAGGGAGAAATGGAGATGTTTGAGGCACCTGTGGTTGCTGGAGCTCAGAGACTTGGTTATCCCATCCCACCCCATCGTCCCTTTCTAGCTTTCTAAAGTGGTGATGAGGGTGGGGGTAGCAGACTGGAGTCAGTTCCCTGGGAATCCAGAAAGCAGGTGTGATGAGGGGGAAGGTAGAGGTGAAAGGATCCAGGAACACCTCAGAAATCCTGCCTCTTGAAACAGAAGGTAGTCAGATTCTGCTCTAGAACCCTTCCCTGATCCCTAACTCTCTCCCAGGAAAATGTCAGAGTTGATTCTTGGACACCTCCCTGCCATCACTCCTGCTTTACTGCTGGGATAGACAAATCCCTCAAGCCACTCTCTCAGGGTCCCCACTCTACATTTCTCCAGAGTCTTCAATGGCCTCTTGGGTTCCCAGAGCACCTTGGGAAACAGCTTCAAAGGTGGGCTCTACTTTAGTGCCCAACACATCCCCTTACCCTTTCTGTGGCCCTCCTTCATTCCTTAGATAGCCATAGGCCCCATCTGCCTTCACAAGCCCCCAATAATCTTTTTTTACTTGTCCAGGGAGAGTGAGTCTGAGGTCAGTGGATGAACAAACAAAAGCCAAAGTACTCCAAAAAAGGTGAGTAAAGAGACAATTGAAGATGTGGAATGGGCAGATAGAGGTTTCAATCCAAGAGAGCAGCTGAGGCCTGGCATTTGGTTTGGCCACTGGTGCCAAACATTGTACTGGCACCTGAGGGAGTTCAGAGAGGTCCAGGAGCAAGCAGTGCAGTAGAGGCACAGTGGTCCATGTCTAACCCTGAGCTTGTGACCCTGCTGTCTCTGAGGTGGCCCCTGCCCCCTTCCATCCACTCTATACCTGTGCTTCCCTGGGATGCACCATCTGGAATAGATCGGGAGGTCTGAGCCATTAAGGATGGAGGGGGAGAAGGAAAGAGGAAGAGATAGAAATCAAGGTGGTGCTGTGGGCATAGGGTTTTGCCTTGGACAAGTCATTTAACTTCTACCAGTTTCATTTTATTTCTTCTTTTATAAAGTTAAATTTTTGTTTTGTATTGAATTGCTAGTACATCCGCATAGTTCAAAATGCAAAAATTAGAAAAGGAATAGGGATACAAATGAGTTTACCTTCTTCCTCTTACTTCTCAGTCAACCAATTCCCCTTTCTTAGAAGCAACTAATGTTATTGGGATTTTTTTGGTACATCGTTCCAGACCTGGTTTATACATATTCAAGGAACATATATATCCCTACATATTACACAGAGAAGGAGCTCTGGTAGCAATAGTGAGGTTGGCCCAGGATCAGGCAGTGTTTCATTCTGTTGTGCATAAGGTTGCTATGAGTTGGTACCGACTCGATGGCACCTAACAACAACAACAACATTACACAGATGTTAGCGTTTTATGCACACCATCCTGCATTTGGCTCCCCATCCCCCAGTGGATTATCATCAGAGACTATGTGTATTTAAAGCATTTCTGCATTTATTTTTACAACTGTTTGAATGGGATAGCCTTTCCATACATGCTCCAAATGTATTTAGCCAGTTCCTCATGATGGTCATTTAGATTGCACCAAGGCTTTTTGAACTTCAGTTTGTTCATTGGAAAATAGATCATAATAATCCTACTTTGTAGGACAGTCGTGAAGGATTCAAGAGCATGTATTTGAAGTGCCTTGGTCAAGCAATCAATAAATGGGAGTTATTATTTCTCCCATCTCAGAGTACTCCGTGGGATTATATCTTCTTCAAGACCCATCTTAAATGTCAGCTTCTTCACAAAGCTTTCCCTGTTTTCCCCAACAAGACCACCTCTTTCTTCCTGCTCCCCTTATCACTCTACTCTCATCAGTTCCATAGGGAGTTTGTGCCAGGCTGAAAGTTGCCTGAGAACAAGGTGTGTACTCTACCTACCTTTGCAGGCACAGAGAAAGTCCTTGGACTGGGCACTGAGGAAGCTCCTGACCAGAGTGGAGCAGCGTGTGTGCTTCTCTCTACAGGATGAGTGAAGGGGTCGCACGGAACTGGAACACGCACAGCTGGCTGCTGGCACTTTGTCTGGCGTGGCTGTGGATCCACCTGGCCTCTGCCTTCTTGCAGCCTTCAGTTTCCACAGGTTTGAGGGAGGTGGCAGGGACTGGGGAGGAGAGTTCAAGGATACCTGAAAAGCTGAACACTACTCCACCCCTTGCAGAGCAGGCAGATCTCTGAGGCAGAATAAAATCCATACAGTCCAGAGCTTTTGGTTTCCCCTGTGTTCTTTACCCATGGAACTCCATGATCCTATGCTATGACAGTCTGGAGAAGGCCTAAGGAGACAGGAAAGGTTTACCTTTCCTTCCAGGCTGGGAGAGAGGCCCTGGGGTGGGGATGGGGTTATATCTCACCTCCTGTCCTAATTCTGTGGTTTTCCTTGTGGGATGACTAAAGCCTGTGTAAGCGGATAATCCTCCGCACGCCTTGTAAGCCCCAGGTCCTTGCCAGCACCCTATGTAGACTGGGGTTGGGGAGGTTGGTATAGACTCCATCTTTCCTATATCCAGATAAAGGCCAGGCTCTGCCCAAGGGGTAATGAATGTGACTGGGGAGGAAAGAAGGACAGAGGAACTGTGAAGCTTGTAGAAGATTTCATCCCTCCCCCTGCTCCCCTCCCCCTTACTCTCCCTCCTGTTCCCCTTCCCCAACCCCCACCCCACAACTGAAAATCTCTCTTTATGTCCCTCTGCCAAGCTGTGATGAGGGGCACAATGACATGCAGATCTGGCCCTGTGGGTGGGAAGGGAACATAGCTGGGGGCTGGGGCTGGGGGCTTCATCTTGTGCTGGTCCTTCAGGCCAGGTGAAACAGGGCACCTGCGAGGTGATTGCTGCTCACCGCTGCTGCAACCGGAACCGTATTGAGGAGCGCTCCCAGACTGTCAAATGCTCCTGCTTTTCAGGCCAGGTGGCCGGCACCACAAGAGCGAAGCCCTCCTGTGTGGATGGTGAGTGGCCCAGGCCAGGGAGGCACTGATGAGAGAGATAAGGCCTGTTTGGTCCTCTCTGTTGGGGATACAGTTTCATATCCCAGAGCTTTCATGATCAGTCTCAAATGGTGGGGCAACTTCAGGGGCAGGGAGGGCAGATGTTGCCATCCTATTTCACAGATAAGGATAGATCTTGTTACATGCACGTCTTCCCACAAGTAGCTGGTACTAGGCACAGACAGAGACACATTCCTTCATACAATCTTCTCACACCTCCCATCCCACTCTCTTCAAACCTTTCACTCACTCCTCCAGACACTCACTTCTTCACCTACTGGTCCTTTCCGAAGCCACTTTGCTCAAAGCTTCCTCTCATCTTCATCCCCACAGCTTTACCATTCTTTCCCTCACACATCTGCCCTTCTCCACATTCCTGCACATGCTCATTTTCTCACACTCACGTGGCATTCCTATAAACGTGCCCACATGCACACTCCTGTTCTGTGGATCCCTTCAAACAGCTCCCATACTTACTCAGGCATATCAAGGAGGGATGGTGAAGATTATGACTCTAGAATAATATCATGGTGGCTCAACTCTAGGATTCCTTTAGAGTTAAGGCCCCTGCCTTTCACCATCTGTGCTGAGATGTAGGGACTCTTTGAGATTAAAGTTACTATGATTGTGTCCCCATGCTTCAGCCTGAGTATTGCATCTTTAGGCAGTCCCTGAATAGGGGAAAAGACGAGGACAATACAGAGCTCAAAGTCAGAGATATGTGGAAACATGCACTTCATTCCCAGACTCCTCTTGACTGCATGCTTGTCCTCTCAGAGAGCTTAGGGCTGCCCTCACTACTTCCTATTCCCGCAGCCTCCATTGTCCTGCAGAAGTGGTGGTGTCAGATGGAACCCTGCCTGGCTGGGGAGGAGTGTACAGTGCTCCCAGACCTGTCAGGATGGAGCTGCAGCAGAGGACACAAAGTGAAAACCACCAAGGTATTTAGGGAGGGACATTTCATCCCACTTCCATCCCTCCCCATCACCTGGGAAGGAGGCATAGGAGTCCTGGGGTCATAGATGTTAGTGTCTCAGGGTGAAATCTGCACACTATGAGGGTACCCCCAATGCACCCCCCAGACAGTCCTCCTGGAGGAGCTGTCCTAATTGGGGAATGAAGAACTCTGGATTTAAAATCCAGTATATCTTCCTGGGCATATTCCTGAGTCTGGGTGTGGTGCTATAGGATAAGCACTGGACTGCTAACCACAAGGTCATTGGTTCAAACCTACCAGCCACTCTTCAGAAACCCTATACAGGGTTGCTATGAGTTGGAACCAACATGACAACACTTAAAGACAACAACATATGCTTAGTTTCCTCCTCTTTGCCTACAGTGAGTTTGCCTGTAGAAAACTGTCAGATCTGTATGGACCAAGTGGAGAATTAAAAAGTTACCTAGATAATTTAAAGGGGAATCTCAACTTCTGCCTGAATTCCACTCTGCCCGGCCATCCTTGCCACAGACCCCCTCCCAGCTTCCATCATTATTAATTGCCTGCAGCTCCTACTGGCCTTCCTCTAGTCAGACTGCTCTCTTCTGACAGCTTCTGAGAGGATTATTTTTGTGGTTTGCTGCCTGCCCCTCAGAACAAGGGGTAATTAAAATTTTATCAAACTCGTTAGCAATCCCATGTGTGTTATGGTTAATCAGTTATACCCTTGTCATCACCATTTATCCAAATGAGTGGCATTCGTATGGCAAGCCAGAGCTCTGCCTTCTTGCCTTCCTTGCAAGCACCACACGCACAGTAAACAGGCGAACATATCAAGTAGCGAAGGAAACACAGCCTTTAGGGCTCTGAAGAGAGCAGCTATTTTCATAGATCTATAATAAGAACAAAGGAGCTCTGGTAGCGTAGTGGTTACGAATCGGGCTGCGAACTGCAAGGTCAGCAGTTCGAAACTACCAGCTGTTCCATGGGAGAAAGATGAGGCGTTCTGCTCCCGTAAAGATTTATAGCCTCGGAAACCCTGTACAGGGTCGCTATGAGTCGGAACCAACTCCACAGCTCATAACAACAACAACAACATAATAAGAACAAGTTTGATTGGAGATAAAGCAGAGTTTCTTATATGCAGGCAGTCAAGGAGGTTGTAGAACAGCATTCTGCGTATATTTAAGACTAGAAGAGAGTGAGACTCAGCATAAAGGTAGTGACGTTTGTCACCATTTTGTAGGTTTGGGTTTGCAGCCCAGAGGGACTGATCACTGTGTTAGCAATGTGGGTAGCTACTCTGAAGCAAGGAGTTCCTGACTGGGAAATATAATGCATTTGACTGCTTTGGCAGCAAGGCTTTGGCAGCATTGACCTCTCAATGGCCCGTTGATCCTAAGGAGTCTCTGGCATGCTGGGGATGGGATAAGCATTCCCTTCTCTAACCTTTCTTCATCACTTGCTCTATAGGTCACACGATAGCACTTGGCCTGGACAGGAGAGGTTGAATTGAGCCATGGACTGAAGAATGGTGTTCAATCATCATCTAACAAATACGGAATTCGTCTACCTGGACACACATACCAGATGCCAAATGCAGCATCACTTCTTCCAGGGATGTTTCAATTCAGCTGCTCAGCAAATAAGAGTGAGTCTCCAACCACATACCTAGCATTGTGCTGGGCACTTCTGGGAACACAGAAGAAGATCAAGACATAGTTCCTGCCCTTAAAGAATGTCTACATAGTTGAGGAGTTGATGAAAGACAATTTAGATACTTTATATTCAAGTGTGTGATACCCAAGCAGTGGCTTCTGAAGAGGTTGTGGATTTGGTAGGGGTTTGGAGATGAGACTCCCACAGCTCTTCAACCACCTACTGGCCACAAGGCAGAAAGACAGGTCACATTCACTGCCCACCACCTCTCTCCCTCATATCAATCCAGAATCCCCAGCAAGCTGCTGATAGGTTGAAGGAAAACTCCTCTTTCTTAGATAGAGCCAGAACAGCTCTATCTTATTTGGAGAGATTCAATTGATGTGGGGAAGGAAAGCAAAGATGAAACCAAACAACTTTCCAGGAAAGCTTCTGAGGAGGCATCGCTTGGTTTGGGTATGGGATGGCATGGACAGGATCTCAAAAGCACTCTTATCCAAGCCCTTCAAGGTTTTGTTTGTTTACTTGTTTATTTTAACAGATGAGGAATCTGAGCTCCTCAAAAGTGAGGTGATTTGCCCAAGGTCTCACATCTTGGCCTCCCAAATTATTAAGTTACTGATCTGCTTAGCCTGGACGTTGGAATTCAAACCTAGCCTTCCATGTTTTTGTCTCAAGTACAGGCAGGAATATGCAAAGTGATAGCTGAACAGTAGTGACATTTTTTTCTCAGGATCTGCTAGAGCAGGAACTTTTGCTAGAATCCTAGTGTGACGCTGCAGGATAATGCAATGGACTGCAAGGTCACAAGGTCAGTGGTTCAAGTTCACCAGCCTCTCCTCGGAAATCCTATTCAGTGTCACTTTGAGTTGGAACCAACTCAATAGCACTTAACAACAACAACAACCCCTCCTCCAAGATGGGGAAACCACTTGATCTCCACTCAGCCTCATGCCAGAAAAACTCAAACAAACCCATGATAGCCAGAGGCCACTCAACCCAGCTGCAGTTTGGGCAATCCCAGCTGACTTTACATGCCAACTCTGGCTTCCTTCTTCCAGGCTTGTGTCTGTTGGGAACTCTGGCTCCAAGAGAGTCTGGCTGGCTCCAGAGCTGTCCTGTCCCTTCAAAGCCTCCTGCTGAGCAATAGGAGTAGAAGACTGGAGCCTCTGTCATGGAGGGGGGTTGGCACTGCCAGACTGGCATCTTAAGGTGGCTTCGAGATAATACTCAGGCTTCAAGGACTCAGGAGCATGGGTTATTTGAACATCTCTTCAGTAATGAGAGTTGCAGCCTTCATGACTGAATCTCCAGGACTGGGGTGGGGGAGGGCATTGAGGGGAGGTCCCAGTAGAGTCACCTGCATGTGATGAATCTGGACCCTCAGAGACGGTGATGCTGACTATGGGTCTCTGCTCCCCTTGCCACCCCATCTCCACATAAAGTCAAGACCTCATCCCACTCCAGAGTTTATCTTGTTTTGTATTTTATTTTATTTTCTGATAAAGGAGTGAGCAATGATGCCAGCTTCTCCCTAGACTGTGAATACTAAACTCGGACACATTAAGTGCAAGTGAGTCTCTGTCGTATAGTGGAATCAGGGAGTAGGGCAATGAAGAAGTTGGTAAAAAATTTGTCATCACCTTATTCAGGGTTGGGGAATGGATTGTGGTGGTGGTGGTTATGTGCTGTGTAGTCTGTTCCGACTCATAGCAACCTTGCCTAGGGTTTCTGAGGCTGTAAATCTTTATGGGAGCAGAAAGCCTCATCTTTCTCCCATGGGACTGCTGTTAGTTTCAAACTGCTGACAGTGAAGTTAGCAGTCCGACTCGTAACCACTATGCTACCAGAACTCCTTGGGGAAATGGATTAGAGGATGGGCAAACTTCCTGGAAAGATCCAGAGGGTAAATATTTTAGGCATTGTGGACTGCATCAATTGCTGCTGTGTATTCTTTGTTGTTGTTTGCTTGCTTTGTTTTGTGTTTAAAACCCTTTAAAAATGTAAAAAAAAAAAATCTTATCTCAAGGGCTGTATAAAAACAGTCACAGTTGTATTCAGAAGTTTGCCAGCCTAGTGAAGCTTTGAAGGTAGGCTCCTCTGTCCAGCCTTCTGACCTGTGTTTGGTGCAGGCAGAACCTGAGCATAAGGACTGGATCGGGTTATGTTTTTCTTCTAATGTTCCTTGAGAGATTGGTGAGTGAATTATTTAGGCTACAAATGAGAGAGCTCTAGCAGAGTCAGACAAGGAGATGTTATTCTCCTAGAGACCAGAATGTGGGTTCTCCACTCCTTTCCCACCCCTTGAGACTGTGTCCAGGATGCAGGGAAAGGGTTCCAGCTCCCTGCTGATCTGCTGGGCTGTGAGCTGGGAAATAAACCTGAAAGAGTGTGATGATACCACATAAACTCTGTTCCCTGAGCAGTCAACTACTGCCAGTCCCTACCTTAGCCTAAATCCAGGGTTTCTGACCTTCCATGACCTCCCCTATCCCCGCACAGAGAGAAGACCCATTTCCTTTGAGCATGTGCTCATTTATTTTTAATCCCTCAAACTCTCCCACTTGCTCCTTACCTATATTTATATTTATTTGGTGGGCTTTGAGGGGCGTTTTTATATCTTCAGAAGACTCCCACACAATAAGATCTGATAGAGAAGAAAACACACCCACCTTCAAACAGTGGCTCTCTTTAAGGGCCTGTTTGCCAGTTTAGCAATACTTGTGCCCACTTTACAGCTAATTCATTTTCCTTGTACATAGGAGTCCTATAGCGATTTGCCCTTTTTCAGTGGGATGGGATCTCAGTTTCTCTGAAGTTACATGATACCTTAGCCCCCCAGCTCAGCGGTGAAGGTCTTGGGAAGGTTGCCAACTACAGGGAATCATTTGGCTAATTCCTCCTGGTCTCCTGGCAGTTTAATTAAGGGCTGTGAGTGACATTCTAATTAATGGCTCCAGACAGTTATCTAGAGTTGAGGCCTGCAGCTTCCTAAAATTACAAGTTTAGAGCTAGAAGGGATTTTGGAGATTACTTAGCTCAATGCCCTCATTTGACAAATAAAGAAAGGATGGCTCAGAGAGGTTAGGTGACTTGCTCACAGTCACACAGCAAGCTAGTGTCACATCCTGGTCAGTGGTCCACACAAGAGCTCTTTCCACTAGTTCACATTCCCTCTTTACCTTAGTTCAGGGGATGGGCCTGAAAAGAAGCCAGAATTTTCTGTAAGGATGAGTATGAGCCTCATCTTGAAATCACAACATCCTAAAATCAGCCAATCCTGTGAGTTGAAAGTGATATACTGAAGAACAGGAAATAGTTTTAGAAATGTGGACACAGAAAGAGGGAAGTAGGGACAAAAAGGAAGGATTAAGATCACTCATTTAGAAGAACATAGAAATACCAACACATACCACAAAATAATTAGAACGAAACTGTGGCTACATCCAAAACAGTCAAATTTCTTCCTTTCTGGAGGAGACAGGGTGGTCCCTAATCAACCTTTAAAAGACCTGTGAATCCAGCTTGATGATTTCTGGATTCTTTAGATCCTAGTGCAGAGATCTGCAAACTCAGGCCCACGGACCAAACCCAGGCCATCACCTTCTTTTGTAAATAAAGTTTTATTGGAACACAACTATGCTCATTTGCATATCATCTCTGGCTATTTTCATGCTAATAAAGCCCTGAGGGTGCAATGATTAAGTGCTCAGCTGCTAACAAAAGTTGGAGGTTTGAATCCCTGTGCTTGTGCATAAGGCAAGTACCTTTCAAGCCATTCTGAAGGGTCCAAACGCCCTCTGGCTTCACTTAGAATTCCAACATTACCATGGCTGGAGGGGCCTGCATGGTGATTGACAGTATACCATCATCGGTGTGTGTAGTCTGCCATGTGGCAAGCAGTCCTGGTGTGGTTCTGTGGGCTAATGTGTCAGATTGCAAAGTTGTTTATTGAAAGTTTCTCAACACACGCTCTGGAAAAGGATGATTCTACATTCATTATATTCCTGGGTTTGGGATTTTATTGATCAATTTTGACGTTGTGGTGGTTCCCTCCTAAACTTTTCCATTGTTGTTGTTAAATGCCATGAGTCGCTTTCAACTCATAGCAACCCTATATAGGGTTTCTGAGGCTGTAAATCTTTGCAGGCATAGCAAGTCTCATCTTTCTCCTACAGAGCAGCTGGTAGGCTCAAACTTGTGGTTTGCAGTCCAGTGCTTATCCTATAGAGCCTCCACGTTCTCATAGACACTAGTGAAATCTCACAGCCCAAAAAATGAAGACAAAGATTGAGACAGAGGCCAAGAGAACTATTTGCAGGAGGTAGAATGCTTCACTAATTTGTTGTCACACCCCCCAGATTAGTCAGTTCATACTTTCCAAGTTCATGCAATGTTTCTCCTTTTACACTTATGTAAAATAGCTCCATGTGCACTCATGTGTAAAGGTATCATTATGCATGTGTATATGCCTCTGTTTCTGTGTATCTTTGTGGGTTTGAATATCTCCATTTCTAAAACCAAGAGTGACATTCAAAATCTGTAAAACACACTTCAACACCGACAGCAGCCTCTCTGCTAGACCAGGGCACACTGGTTGTATATAGTCCAACATGTAAGTGCACATACCCAGTCCACCTGCTATGGCTGCATTGGAACTCCCCAAACAAGGAGGGCTCATTTCCTCTTTGCTTGGAACAGCTGAACTGTTCTTTTTACATTTCCTTGGGCTCATGGACTTGCCTAATTGTCACCAATTATCATCTCAGTGTGTGCTTGGGCTCTTGGATGGTTGTAAGCATTGTATTGGAATAGACTGTACATAAGGCAAGTACCTTTCAAGCCATTCAGAAGGGT